CACAAGATCTAAACAACACTTTAGACCTATTGGACTTGGCAGATATCTACAGAACATTCCACCCAACATCTTCAGAATATTCATTCTTCTCATCAGCACATGGATCATTCTCCAGGATAGACTGCATGTTAGGTCACAAAGCAAGTCTCAACAAATTCAAAAAAATTGGAATTATCCCATGTATTTTTTCTGATCATAATGGATTAATATTAGAAATCAATAATAAATGAAACTCTGGAAAATATACAAACACATGGAAAATAAACAACATTCTACTTAATTGCATGTGGGTCCAAGAAGAAATCAAACAGGAAATCAAAAAAACTCTTGAAACTAATGAAAATAACAACACATCATACCAAAACCTGTGGGATACTGCAAAAGCAGTAATACCGTCCCAGTTAATAACAGGGAAATTTACCACATTAAGTGTTTACTTCAGAAGAATGAAAAGATGGCAAATAAACGACCTAACACTTCACCTTAAAGATCTAGAAAAACAAGAACAATCCAAACCCAAAGTTAATAGATGGAAAGAAATAAGATCAGAGCAGAATTAAAGGAAATAGAAACCCAAAAAACAATACAAAAGATCAATGAAACAAAAAGTTGGTTTCTTGAAAAGATAAATAAAATTGACAAACCTTTAGCAAGGTTAACTAAGAAGAGAGAATACCCAAATAACAAAAATTAGAAATGAAAAAAGTGTTATTACAACTGACACCTCAGAAATCATTAGAGACAAGGAATCATTGGAGACTACTATAAACAACTATATGCCAACAAATTTGAAAATCTGGAGGAAATGGATAAATTTCTGGACACGAACAAACTACCAAAACCGAGGCAAGAAGATATAGAAAATCTGAACAGACCAATAACAATAAGAGAGATTGAAGCTGTTATCAGAAGGCTCCCAACAAAGAAAAACCCAGGACCAGATGGGTTCACTGCCGAGTTCTACCAAACCTTCAAAGAGGAACTGATACCAATTCTCAACAAACTATTCCAAAAGATTGAAACAGAGGCCATTCTCCCAAACTCATTCTATGAGGCAAANAATGGGATTATATCAAACCAAAAAGCTTCTGCACAGCAAAAGAAACAATCAACAGAGTAAATAGACAACCAATAGAGTGGGAGAAAATATTTCCAAAATATACATCTGACAAAGGATTAATATCCAGAATATACAAGAAACTCCAACAACTTTACAGCAAAAAAAAAAAAAAAAAAAAAAGCTAATTTAAAGATGGGCAAAGGAGCTGAATAGGCATTTCTCAAAAAAAATATATGAATGGCCAACAGACACATGGAAAAATGCTGAACTTCACTCAGCATCCAGGAAATGCAAATCAAGACCACGTTGAGATACCATCTCACTCCACTTAGGATGGCTAATATCCAAAAGACTGAGAATGATACATGCTGGAGAGGTTGCAGAGAAAAAGGAACTCTCATACAGTGTTGGTGGGGCTGCAATATGATGCATCCTTTATGGAAAATGGTATGGAGGTTCCTCAAACAATTACAGGTAGATCTACCATATGACCCAGCTATTCCACTGTTGAGAACATACCCAGAGGAATGGAAATCATCAGGCCAAAGGGATACCTGTACTCCAGTGTTTATTGCAGCTCTATTAACAATAGCCAAAAGTTGGAACCAGCCCAAATGTCCATCATCGGATGAGTGGATAAGGAAACTAGTATATCTACACAATGTAATACTACTCTGCTGTAAAAAAGAATGAAATACTACCATTCGCAACAACATGGATAGACTTAGAGAAAATTATATTNTCTATAGATGCTGAAAAAGCATTTGACAAAATTCAATATTCTTTCATGATAAAGACTCTCTTCAAGTTAGACATAGATGGAAAGTATCTCAACATAGTTAAAGCCATTTATGATAAGCCCACATCCAACATCATCCTGAACAGGAACTAGACAAGGATGCCCACTCTCACCACTTGTATTCAACATAGTGTTGGAAGTACTAGCCAGAGCAACCAGAGAAGAGAAGGAAACAAAGGGCATGAAGATTGGAAAGGATGAAGTCAAACTGTCCCTGTTTGCAAATGATATGATCCTACATATTGAACAGCCTAAAGCCTCCATACAAAAAAACTCCTAGAGTTGATAAATGATTTCAGCAAAGTTGCAGAATACAAAATCAACAACAAAAATCAGTAGCATTTCTATACTCCAACAGTGAACATGCAGAAAAAGA